GCCTAATAAATTATCTGTCATCGCAACCCTTTAAGTATAAGATTAACACAGCCAAAAATCTAATACACAAAATATTAACAATAAGCCACCAACAATTCAAGGAGACGAACATATGCAAAATAAAGAAAATTCTAGCAAGCAATAACTACCCAAACCGTCTAATACAAAGCCTAATCGAACATAAAGTAACAGAAATAAACAATAATCAAAACAAAACGCCAACCATAAAAGCAACAGACGGAACAAAGCGATATCACAGTGTGACGTACATTCCTAAGTTCTACCAACAACTTGACCACGAAATAAACACCAACAACCCTAATATAAGATTAGCATACCGAACCAACTACACACTATCTTCGATATTCACACGAACAAAAACACCGATCAAGCCCCACCAACAAAACAACGTGGGATATGAAATCACATGTAAAGGCAGCAAAAACGAAAACTGCAACAAAGTTTACATAGGGACAACTAAGCGAGCATTAGGCGTTCGCCTTTCAGAGCACGAAGCCGACATAAACAAAAAGAAGAACAGCACAGCATTAGTACAACACGTACTTACCAGTGGTCATACGGCTGATCTAACTAACGTTAAAATATTGGACAAGGAGAAAAGGGAACGGGCAAGGTACACAATAGTGAGTTTGCGTATACTGCAAAAAAGGGAAAAAACAATCAACAAGAAGGAGGACACGGACGATATCGCGGCTGCTTACATGTTATGTTTGTAGCGAATATTTAGTTTGACGAAATTACCACAGATGGATGGTAGCAATACTTTATGGTTTTCAATATATTTAACGTTTTTGTGTTTTTTATATGTTTTTTAATGTATTTAACGTTCTAATGTTTTTTTATATGTATGTGCATTTATGTGAGACCAATTTAACCTAAGTGTACATGTAAGTCATGCGATAAAAAATAAGTTTAAAAACCTGTGATTGTGTTTGTTTTCAAAACAGAACATATTTTTGTTTACCAATCTTTAACTTTTATTTGTACAAAAAAACTCATAATTTCTATTTTAAATAATCTTGCTTTCCTCTGTTTTTTTGTTGATATGCTAAGGTAGTTAGCGAAACGTTGGGCAAAGAAGTGGAGAAAAAGTGTTTTTCTTGCACATGGAGAAGTAGATCGACCAGCCTACAACAATACCAACATATAACAAAAACTCGATCAAAAGCTTACAAAGATATTATAAAAACAAGAATATTTTAAATATAAATTTTTGAGAAAAATATATGTATAATGTGAAAAAATGCCTATAACTTTTGGATATATATACATATATATGTATAAAGGCTATGTTAATTAAATATTTAAATGTGGTAACAAAGAGTTAACTCCAATACACAAAAGCAATAAAAATATAGGATAACATATTGTAAAGTGGAGTATTCAATTGATCGATATTCGCACAACCAGGAACTTCTAATTAGAAAACAATGCCGATGTTCAAGCTTTCAATGAATGATCTTA